GAAACAAACCACAAGCAAGTTGCCCCCTTGTCTGTACACACATGTGGAGTTGGAGACACCCTTGGAGCACGTTGCTCAAGATGAGTTCTCTGGGGCTGTGCTTCCCAGCCTTAGCTCTGTTCTGGGGGGTGGGGTGGGGGGGTGCGGTGGCCTCAGTCTAGACCAGATCCTGAGGCAACACTGGGCCTGGGCACCAAGTCAAAGGAAGAACAAGGAACCTGCTCTGGGGGGGGTGACTCTATGTCCTGGGCCTGCTGCTAGGAGTTGTTCTCAGGGAGAAGGAGGGGGGCCAGCCTGGTCAAAGCCAGGTTCATTGCACAATCTCGCATGCAGCTTGGTCCCTGTCCCCCATGGAGGTCCCTGCTCAGTGCCTCTGAGAACAGCTTCTGCTCTGCTTCCTGGACTCTGAGTGTGGTAGCTGTAGGCCCCAGCCTACAGGGAGGGGATCTGGTGTAAGTCCTGCCGGCTTCATTCCTATGCAGGACAGGTAGGCTGCAGGCTCTAACACGCCGCCAGCCTGGCTCCACAGAGGCCTCCGCACCAGGGGAAATTTAAAAAAAAAAAAAAAAAAAAAAAAAAAAAGCCAGCAAGAGGGAGGGAGTGAACAAGCGAGAGAGGGATTATTTTGTTTCGACGTGTTTGAAAGCGGGATCTGTGGCCAGTTGTTTTTTTTTTTTTTCCCTCCTCTTTCCCCCCTTATTTACACAGTCTGTTCAGAGACACACTCGGGCCTGTTTGGATTGGGTGTTTGCTCCGGAGACGGGCCAAGCATTTCAGCACTGTGCGTTGGCACTGCCACCTCGGCGGCACCAGGAGGCCCAGTCGGTCACAAGACCTCGCGGGGCCTCCTCACTCCCTATTTATCCTCCCTTCACCTTCTCTCCTCCGTTTCTTGCTGCTGCGGGTGCTCGACAACGGTGGGCAGCCAGGGAGTGAGGTCGCCATACCTGGCGCTCGTCTTTCCGAATGAGGGCATTGCCACACCAGGGCGAGCGTGGAAAGTCTGTCCACAAGCCTGGGGTGCAGACCTAGAGACTGAGATTTCCCTAGCAGGCTTTGGGGTCCCTGAGGGTCTGGGCTGGAACTGGCAATATGTGGCATCTGGCCAGGTTGGGGAAGGCAAGCAGAAATTTACATAGGGCTGTTCTCCAGGGATGCTGAGCTGGTTCGGGGAGGTGAGGTAGGGCAGAGCCAGCCAACACCATGCTATGCCAACACTATGCTATGTATCCCGGGGTGTGTGTGTGGGGGGGGAGCTTGTTTGAAATGCAGGTCCTCAGGCTCACAAGATCCTCCCTTAGCTGTTGCTAGACTGGGTTGGTGTTTGCGACCCTCAGCTCTGAGCCCGCATTTTACAAAGGGAGTTAGTTTTCTGGACCTCATCCTGTGTCTTGAGATGCATTTGTATGAATGATCCTGTAAGTGCATTTCGAGAATAGTAGAAAATGCAAGACCCTCTTGGAAACTTACCAAGCTTACAAGAGCTTCATTTAACATAAATTAACTCAGATTCGACTCGGGGGGGGGGGGGCATCTCCCACTGTCCCCTGCCACACCCCCAGGTCTCTAGTCTAGTGTCACATGGTTTCTGCTGGAGGGCATTGCTCTCTCGCGGTGAAGCCCTCCTCATGGTCTAAGGTGTTTAGAACCTTCGTTTTAGATCTAGAACATGATAAGATGTGGGCTCTGGAGCTAAACTAACTGGATTCTAATTCAGTTCAGCACCTTACTGGGAGTGTGACTTTTGACAGGCTGTGTGGTTGTCCCATGCCTCAGTTTCTTATTCCATGAAATGAGAATAATATGAGCATTTATTAGAGAGGGCTGTATTTGTATCATTGTGTCATTGATAGTTCTGGAAACAGATTACTGCCCCATCACCCCCCGTAAATATTGTCTAACTGGTGTCTTTCTTTCTCAATCTTCCCATCAGGCTCGCAGCCTCCCATGTATTCTAAATGTATAATCCTGAGTCCAGTCATACGCCAGAGTCGCCCACAGAGTGCTTTGAACAAGTTACCCACAGTTCCATGCCAGCTGAAGCCCACTGCAGGAGTCTCCATCCGGTGGGGAAGCCTCGGGGCTGCATGTTAGCATGTTCCCTGGGTGATTTCATCACAGTTCTCTGACTAGTGGTGGCTGGAGAGCCATGGCTAGAGCTCCAGGTTTCTAAAGCGAAGAAGGACCTGCTGGGGGTGCCATGCTGCTGCGTGGGGGGTCACACATTAGTGGGGAGTCCCCTCTCTGATCCGGGGCTCAGCCTTGAGTGGTAGAACCTTCCTCTAACTGTTCTCACTCCCCTTGTCGTAAAGCAAAGGGAGGAGGAGCCTTGCAAAGTGTGGTCCCTGGGGCAAGGATGGCAGCACCCATATTCGGGAGACTGTTACGATGTAGACTCTCTAGCCTCACGGCAGACCAGCGAGTGGTCTCAGAGTCTGTGTTCTGTCAGGGTCCCCAAGAGATTCTTGGGAAGCAAGAGGAACAACTCTCTAGACGAACTGGAAAATCAAGTTCCTGGTGTCAACTGCAGAGCCTTCTTCCTGGATGGGAAGAGGGATGCTGAGAAAGGTGTGTTAGCCCCAGTGTTGCCATAGTAACCAGCTGTTACCCATCCACACTGAGCGGGAGGAAATGAGCCCCAGGAGCCTGGGGAATGCTGGTCAGATTTCTAAGGACATCTCCAAATGCAGAAGTTTAAGAGTCCTTGGGGCAGCCTGCAGGAATCAGTGAGCTTGGATGGCCCTCGCTAGAGTCCATCAATATCAAATCGGTCACCAAGCATCTTGATGACTGTTTACTTAGCTGTCAGCTGTGTGCCAAGCATGGGGACCTCTAGGTTCTATGTGGCAGTGGTCAATGTCCCTATCATTTCAAGGCTGTTCTTTCCCTGTTTGTTCTTTCTGTGCGGTCCCCATAATAGGGTAGCTTGCTTCTTACACACCTTCTAACTCTCCTCCAGACTGAGAGCCACCACTAGAGGAGGTGAGGACAGTAGGTGTTTGCTTCAGTTCCTGCCACTTGGCTGAAGCAGGAGGACTCCCCTAGGTGATGCGACTGCTTCTAGACGGCAGCCCTCACTTCCCCATTCATGGTTGCTTTGCCTTGGTCTATTGTACGCGATGATGCTCCCCATCTTGAGGTTCGTTTGCAGCGCCATCCATTGCACATCTCTTTATCAGACTGCCATGCAAACACGGTTCAACCCTCCCTCCTTCCTCTGGCTTGTACCATGGCATCCCACCCAATCCAGCACAAGAAAGGGTATTGAGAGGGATTTGGCAGGGCTTGGTGGCTATTTCCGATACCGCTACCTCATGGAGGCTCTTACTCATGCCTGGCTTGTTGAGGGAACTTCTCACCGACTGGCTTGCCCCACCTACCCTCCTGCGGCCTGTCTGCTCCCAAAATCACCACTTCCATCCTTCCCGTCCTCGGTGGCCAGCGATTCCTGCCAACTACAAGACAGGGATGGGACGTCCTCGTGTCTGGAACAGTGGTTCTCAACCTTCCTAATGCTGCGACCATTTAATGTAGTTCCTCATGTTGGAGTGACCCCCAACCATAAAATTATTTCATTGCTCCTTTGTAACTGTAATTTTGCTGCTGCTGTGAATTGTAATGTAAAGATCTGATCTGCAGAATAGCTGATATGGGACCCCCTACAGGAGTCAAGACCCACAAGTTGAGAGCTGCTGGTGTTGATGGAAGGCCTGCTTAGCCCCTCCTGGTCTGCACGAGGTCTGGCTTGATTGCCAGGGTGGCCTCAGCACCCCTGCAATTTGCTGCTGCTTCTCCTCGTCTCTGCGCGTTCGATTCTTCTCCCCACTTTGTTCTTCTTCCTCTCCTATGGATGAGGCTCGTTCGAGCTTTGAACTCCTACCTTCTCCTCGGAGGCTTCTGTGGATATATGTCATGATGATATCCTTGGTGATCAACTCTGACTTTATATGCTATTTATTAGAAACCTGAGGCTTCTCTTGGTTGGATTGATTCTCTTTCTTTGAAGAACTCTACTCTCTATCTCTCTCTGTCTCTGTCTCTTCCCCCTCTCTCTCTCCTCTCTGTTCTCTTTCTCTCTCTCCTCTCTGTCCTCTCTCTCTCTCTCTTTCTCTCTCCTCTCTCTCTCTCTTTTCCTCTCTCTCCCCCCCTCTCTCCTCTCTCGTTTCCAAGTACTTCCCTAGAAAACTGAGTCTGGTGTTTTACCTGTGTGGGTGTTATATCTTAAAGGTTTACTGCTCTGCTAGGGAGGGACTGTATTATGCTTGAGATAGGGATCTGTTCTCTCCATGTTGACATTCTTTTCTTGTAGCACTAAAGTTGGAACTCATAGGACATTGTGCATTCCAGCTCAACACTGCCCCACCAAGCTGCACTCTGGTCCTTGCCCAAAGGGCTGATCAGGAAGCAGTCCACACAGCACTGTTACCAGCACTGACCCTGCTGCATGGAGGCTGAGGGATGGCAGGGCCTCTAGAGGCAAACACCCCGGAGTGCAGGGCTTGGTAAAACACTGGGTGCTGTTGTCGTTGGCCGGTAGAAGTTCTGCCTGGCTCGGCCACTGAGCATCTCTGTCAGCAGTGTCCCGTGTACTGTCACAACTCACTGCGCCCCCACCTGGCCCCACATCCCCACTGAAGCCCTTTGACGGGAACTCAGTCACCTCTTGGGCCATTCCTTAACTGCCCAAGACTCTTCATCGAACCTTACAAGACTGTCTTAAGAACACAGGCATTCATGGTGTTAGGTATCTAGCACACAGCTAATGTCCATTGAGCACTTACAGTACTGATTTATTGAATACTTGTTATAGTCACCAGATGATAGGCTACCCCTGTGGGTGAAGTTGGTATCCTGAGATTCAGAGCTTTGTATCTCTTTTCTCTTAACTTTCAACTACCCTTTGCCCCAGTGACCCTATCACCTTTGTATGCCCGGCTGTCCTTTCTGTGGGAGCATCTGCCTCTGTCTACTGAATGTGTCGGGAGCAGCAGTGTGGCTGCCTGCTGCTTTTCTGTCAGTATCCAGGGGTGGACACATCTGTTTCACGAACTACAGGATTTTTGCCACAGATGTATCCAGATCCTGAATATACCAAACAGCTGGAAAATGGTCAGTGGGCAATGAGGCCCAGGGAAAGCAAATGTAGATTTATTCCCATGCATGTTCGCTGCTAGGTTGTTCAGCCTGGCTGTCAGAACTGCTGCATGCATGCATGTTTGTGTGCATATAGATATTTGTAAGGCGTGTGTGTGTGTGTGTGTGTGTGTGTGTGTGTGTGTGTGTGTGTAAGTGGAGAGAATGAAGGCAATGCAGGAAGATGCTCTTCTAGCTGACTTGTTAGGAAACAGTACAAAAGAAGAGTTAAATGTCCACCCCCACCCATGCCATGGCAGCCAGCTTAGCCTAACATAGTCAGAGAGTTGGCTGATTGGAAGCCATGTGTGTCAAAAGAAAGTTAGCCATATATCTTTATTGTCTAAATTGTCTTCTAATTCCTTGGCCGCTCCAGGTGAAGGGAGTCCACCATTCTGCTGTGCTAAGTAAGGCTGGGGACCAAGCCATGACTTAACAATAATTATAGGGCACACAATTGCCAGACATAAAGAAAAGAACACGGAGATTTGGTTTCCTTCAAGCCGGAGGTACCTTGTCTGTGGTGCTGATGCCTTTGAGAGTCTTGCCTTCAGTGATGAGTGTGTCAGGGTTGCAATAGGGGCTGTAGATGTGGAAGGGTTCACTCGCTCGCTCGCTCGCTCGCTCGCTCGTGTGAGGAGGAAGGAGCTGGGATCCGGTCTCTTGTTCGCTGGAGCTGGCAATCCTTCATTCACATCTGTGCACGCTCTGTGCCATGTAAAAGACCTCTCTTGTAAGTCGAAAGTTCTAGGCCTTTTCAGGTGAGCAGTCCTTGACTAGAGGCTTCTGGGTTAGAAGTCATCTATGCCTGTGTTTCCATTGGCTAATAACAGTCAGTGTTTCACTTTTTTTTTTTAATACAGAGTTTTGAGTTTATTAAAAGACATTTTTAAGGCTAGATCTTAAGCACAGGGGTTAGCGAAGGAGAAGTGCTGGGTGGGGGTGGGGAGTAAAAAGGCTCAGGTGTGAGTAAGGGCATCTCCAGGGACAGTCGCCCGCCCCAGCGTCTCACCTCCTGAAGCCAGCCACCAATATTGCGTTTTGCAATAGATCATTAAAAGTCCAGTTTCCCAGCTTCTCCTGAAAAGTCAGAAAATCTGGCAACAATGAGTTTCTCTTTCCCCATATGGCAAAAATCAGCAGGCTGAGAAATAAATGTCTCCTTAAGACAGGACATTCGCCCTCGATTCGCTCAACCCCTCCCTACCCCCCATCCCTGCTTCCTATGCCTGGGCCTCAGTCTGGCTTAACTGACTTCTGGCCCACAGGCATTTAGGACCGTGATCCTGACTTGAGTGTGAGCCATCTCCTCTAGCAGGCTATGAGTGTGGTATGTGGGTGAATGAGGTAAAACAGGGGTACATAACTGCTGTTTACCTGGGGCCACTGTTTCTGGGAAGAATGTGAGTTTCTGCTGCTGGGTCAGAGGTCAAGAGTTCAGAAGTCTTATTCCAGCTGTGCCCTTAACTTTCAAAGGGACCCACCAGCAATCATTTAGCCCAGGTCAAACTGTTTGCAAAATGCCAAATACCTAGGTCTCCCTAATACATCTGAGGAGGAATTGGTTTGGGAGATAGGGAAAGGCCTCCACATGTAGGTTTGTTCCCCTTTCATCTCCATAGCTCATATCCATAGCTCATAACACCCAGATGGTCAGTTAAAAATTTCTTCTAACGGAAATGGCTACTTTGGAAAACTTTTTGCTTGTGTCTCCTAACATTGATGCGGTTTCTTCGCTCTCACAGGATGCTGCTCTGTGTAAAGTCTGGCTGCGCTGCTGCTTAATAATAAACACCAGGAAACACCTAGCACAGAGCTGGGAAGATGGTGTACTCAGTAGGGTGCTTGACTTGTAAGCATGAAGACGCCCCTCCACCTCTTGTCCGTCTGTCTGTCCATCGTCCAGTCACCAGAACCCAGGGAAAAAACTGAAACAAAATGAGACAAAAATAAAACAAAAAACTAGTGTGGTGCACACTTGTAACCCCAGCACTGGGGAGGTGGAGACAGCTGGATCCCCAGCTAGCCTAGCCTAATTGGTGACATCTTGGCCAATGAGAGACCTGTCTTGTAAAACAAGGTAGAAGGCTCCTGAGGAATAATCCCCTAGGTTGACCTCAGGCCTCCACATGCCTGTACACACATGCACACACATGTATACACACACACACATTTTGCAGATTCATTCACGTTTCACTAAAATACATACTCTGGAATGCTGGAATAGACCTTCTAGCCCTTTTTGTAGTAGCCCCAATTAAAACTTGCTATCAATAGTGGAATGACTAAAAACAACTGTAGGATATTTATTCACTGCAAAATACTATATAGCAATAAAAACAAAGATGTTACAGCTGCATGCAACCCAAGCAGATGAATTTCCTGAGGGTAACCTTGCTCTGAGTGACAGGTAAACAGAGAAGCTCCTAGGCCGGATGAACCTGTGTTACCACACAGGCATTTCAGAGCTGGCAAAGCTGATCTATGATGTCAAAAGTGAGAACTGTGGCTGTATTTGGTGGGTGATAATGACAGGAGGAGATGGGCTTGGGGGAGAATTGGAAGTGGATCTGGTCTTGTATGAGTTCTGTTTGCATAGTTGTTTTTTTTTTTTTTTGAAAATTCAATGAGTTCTCATCTTATGCATTTTCCCATTGTAGATTTTACTGCACTAAAATATTAAAGTTAATTTAGGGAAAACACCACCACCAACAAAGCCCACTGAAGAAGCTTAGCACTGTGAGATGCAGGTTCCAGGGCTGGGAGTTTTGTACAGAATCTACATTCATCTGACTTTTTGTACACATGCAACAGAAACCACCTGTGGCTGATTATGCCAAAGTGAGGTTATAGAAATCAGATGGCACAGCTCAACTTTTCTGGCGGAGTAAGAAAACAAGATTTGGAGGTCCTGCAAGCAGGGACACTACAGACCTGGTCAGGAGATGACGTTGCTTTTGCTGCTGGACATGGCCATCTCACCCTACCTGACTGGCCCTGGGTGTAGCACACTATGATAGACCCACTGCCTCTGCAGTCAGAACATAGCCCCTGCCACTTACCACTGTTAATCAAGCTAGAATGGTTAACTGTGACTTTTGTAATAGCCTCAAATTAGAAGGTCTGCTGCTCTTCCCTACTCACCAGAGTGCGTCTCTTGGGGCTTCTGTTGCTTTGTATTGCTGTTTCAGGCTCAAAGTTGGGCATAGTCATGGCCTCCTGGGAGAATCTGGGCTTGGTGCTCTGTTCTAGCTGCAAGGGAGTCTGGTACTATAAAGACTTTGTGTTTTCATACCCAGCGTGATGGAGTCAGTTCTGGTTCAGAAAATAAGATATTCCCCAAATTCATGTGATTAGCAGATATCCACAAGAAAACATGATCTTCCTGGGAATGGCTAACTGTTCTTCTGCCTACTGGTAGAAAAGCTTACAGCTAAACATATTCTTTTTGCTGCAACCTAAACATTCATAACCAGCAAAGAAGAGCAAATTCAGGGGCTGAGGAGTTGGCTCTGTCAGTACAGTGTTTACCACACAAGCATGAGAACTTGAGTTTAGATCCCACCACCTACATGAAAAGCAAGGCCTGTTGGGGCTTTCCTGTAACCCCAGCACTGGAGAAACAGAGATTGGAGGGTTCCTGCACCTTGACGGCCAGGCATCCCTGCTAAAAAGACCCTGTCTTAAAAAATAAGTGGAAAGCAATTGAGGAAGACACCTGACACTGACTTTTGGGCCTCAACATGCATGTGTATACATGTGCATGTGTGCATACACACAGACACGCAAACATGTACACATGCACAAGCACACAAAGGCATATAAGGGTGAATTCAACCCAACTGCCAAGAGGCAGGATGGGAAGAAGCTTGTGATATGAATTAATGTGTACTAATGCTTCTCTCCCAGATTCTAGGAACAGGCCCCAGGGTCAGCATGGTCAGCCTGGCAGATTGATGTCAACAGGCTTACTCTGCCTTTCTACCCACTACAGGAATTTCGGTGTTTACTTGATCACATTTCATTGTACCAAATATTTCTTCTTGTTTTCAAACATAAATTTGTGTATCCTCAAATTTATCCATAGTGGGAAAATATTTTTCCATGTTTATAATTGATATCCTTTATAATTGAACCAATGTGGTTCATTTTAGTAAATTGTGGCTGCTGCTGCTTCTTCTTCTGGCTCATGAACTGGATTCCTTGGGAATCATTTTCCTCATCTGGAAACTGAAGATGATAAAGCTGGTGAGGGAATTCGGAGTGACGAGGCACAATTGACCATAAGAGCTTCCATGAGCTGCTTGTTCAAATTAGTCCGTAGTGACAAATGGACTAATGATCCTCACCCGGGGGAATTCAGTGATAAAATGAGATAACATATTAAAGCACTTAGCTCCAAGCACATGCTGTGGCAAACACCCCATCAATTATAATAACAATAGCTCTTATTATTTGCAGATCCATGGCGTTCTGATCTTAGCTGTCCTGATGGTTGATTGGCTGATGGATTGGTGGGGAGCATAACTCCATCTTGCCCTCTGTTCACCCCAACCCAGCTGCAGACATTGTACGGATGAGGAAACCTAGGTCTATAGCAGTTAAAAGATGAGGCAACAGCATAAGTGAGCTCCACTGGCCCACAGCCAGTTGAGTACGGCCCGAACCCTTGACTCTTGCAGCCTGTGTATCCCCAGGGGCATTGCTTTGATAACCCTATCTAAGAGAGCAGTGGGAACTAAAAACGTCTGTCCTCAATGTCAGTAAATGCCGTTCAGCCTACACCAATTTTACTTTTATCATTTAAGGTCCAAAGTATTGAAACTGCTCATATCTCCATCGGCTCTTTGGTGGCTGTGCTGACTTTTTCATACTGGCTAGAGCTAGGCGAATCACCTGGCCAGGCTCTTTCATCTGCTGAGCCGGCTCTGGTGTCTAGAGATTGGTTAAGTGGACTGTGCTGGCAGATTGTGATGGCCTGCAGTGTGGGAGCCTGTGGACCTTTGGCTGGAGTTATAAACAGGATGGAAGGCAGGGGGCTTAGGAAACACCATGTGTTGTCCATCTTCCACTGTGTCCCTCCCTCAGTCTCTTACCCTGTTGCTGATGCTACCCCGCAGACAGCCTAGTAGGAGCATAGCCTCCTAGTTCCAGGCACAGGCTCCAGAACAGGAAGATGCCCAAGTGTAAGGAAAGGCTTTGCCAGCGATGGTCCTGGACGTACACCTGAGCCAGGCCCAGCGGGGAAAGCGATGGGCCTGCAAGAGGTTAAAACTCGCCCCTGTGTTTACTTTTTTTGGCTGCCACACTGCATAATAATCTGTCAGCACGTCAGGTGCGGATTTATTTGTGCATTAAAAATGGCCTAGAGCAGGCGGATGCAGACACTCTCCAGCATGCTGGAAAATCAATGTGCCTCCAGCACAGAAACAGCCGCTCCAAATATTTCACCCTTTTTAATAAGTGCATTTAATTAAAGTCATAGAACTTTTTTTATTATGTTTGAAAAAAAAATCCTTTCCCGTGCTGAAGTTGAACGTGCAATTTGGAGCACAAAGGGAGTGTTCCCCTAGTGCCTAGTCCTTAAAATGGAAAGCCCAGCAATGGGTGTGCATCTCTGGCCCTTGGCAGGCTGGCTCAAAGGAGGCATCCCATGGGTTTGGCCGGGAGGAAGGTGTCAGTGTGGCCTGAGAGGAGTGGCCTTGAGCGGCAAGGAGACAGACCTAGAGTGCTTGGTTGTGTGAGTCCTGTTACAGTGTTCGCTTCTGTGAGTTCGTTTCTCAGTAGGCAACTGGCTGCTGTATATTAGTCCGGGGGAGGCTGTGTGTTAGACCCCTGGAGGCAGATGGTCCCCCTAAAGGCAGGGACAAGGACTAAATGACTTTCCAACACCCAACCTTCCAGTGATGAATGTGGCCTGTGGATGGGAAGAGAGGACCACTTCAAGTTGATGAACAGGGATTTCTTGAGCTTCTGAGTTCTCTCTTCCTATCCTGGCTTGGGAAGTCTCTAAATGGGCCGAGACAAAGTTTGGCTCCGAGGTGGTGACAGCGGGGACGGGGGAGGGGGAGGGGGTGCGCCCTGCAACCCACTCTGCCTATGCCAGCAGATTAGGAAACATGTCAGGATGAGGGTGGCCTGGAGTAGAGCTGTAGTGCCGAGTGTGGGGACCCACACTTGGTGAGGTGGCACGGGGGGGGGGGGAGGGGGGGGGTTGGGGGGCGGAAGGGCGGGATGTGTGCACAGCAGGGCAGAAGTGGCGCCACTGAGAAGGGGGCTGGGGGCAACCACAGCATACCAGGCCTGGTGACTCGAGGCCTGCTAATTATGCAGCCCAAGGGAGTCATGCTGGCCTGCCAGAGCTGCCCAGAGAGGTGGCATGGAAAACCTCATAAGGGGGTCTGTGTGCTTCGGGGCTGACCAGGAAATCGCCTCCAGGTCCTGGAGGCTGGGACTGAGGGGCCCAAGGCTGGATGCTGGGGCTACTTGTATGTCAACAGCAGCGGTTTGCAGGGCTCCTGGAGGCCGTCCAGGCAGGAGAGGACACGGTTTGCAGGGTGTCTCCTCCTGCTAGGTGAGGTCTCTGGAGCATCTGAAATCTCGGATGCCCATTCCAGAAATATTTCAGAGGCAGCCTTCTCCTTCTTTAGCCTTCTGGTTCCCACTGCTCCCCCGGGCATGCTCATTAGCGTCTTTTTATGGCTGTAGAAACAGAAATCCCAGAATTAGTTCGCTCGGGCCACCCAGAGAGAGCAAGGTGACCAAAGACCAAGCAGGCTTGAAAGCTTTTTAAAGAATATTCTTAGCATCTTCTAATGATGCGGGAGCACTGCTGTTAATGACGCTTGTCCCTGCTCACAAAAGGTAAACAAAGTCAAGATTCTCTTCAGTCTTCTTTTTGAAGCAGAGAGGCCTCCCTCCCAGACCAGGCTAAGTTTTCTCACTTGTGCACTTTCCCTGGGGCTTTTCTTTAACGTATTAATCGAAATGATCATACATACATTGTTGTTTGAGAATTTGGTAACTCTTATGCTTTTTAAAAGGAAGTTGCTTCCATTTTTAGGAAACTAGGTTATTATAAACTTCAGTCAAAGGTTTAAAATATTGGCCTTAGCACTGTAGGAGTCAATATGAAATGTAGTTGTTGATTAACTGCTACAGTTGGGTGTATGTGCATGTTCATGTGTCTGTGTTCAGGTAGGGGGTGTTTTAAAGTGTGTGTGTGTGTGTGTGTGTGTGTGTGTGTGTGTGTGTGTGTGTGTGATGCATGTGTTCCTGTGTGAGAGTATAAGCACACATGTGGAGGTCAGAGGACAGCCTTGGATGCCAGTCTGCACCTTCCTTCTGCCTTGTTTGAGACACGATCTCTTGATTGTTTGCAGTCAAACCTCCCTATGGTGTGGTGAGAATGTACTTGTACTAAGTGAACTGGTTACCATAAACAGAGAGCTGCCGTGTGTCGGACCCTATCAGGAGCTGAGTTACAGAGTCTGAGAAGAAAGCTTCAGATATATTGTAATGCATTTTCTACCTATTTGCATGTCTCCTCATCTATAAATATCAGATACAATAGTCTCTGAGTACAAAGAGAGAGTTAGAAATTGGAATTAGAAAAACCTGAAGAAAACAAAAATACTACTTTCCGGGTCTTTTCTAATCTGTTTCCCCAAACTTTAGGAACATCCTGGGGCTCTAGTCCTCCAGTTGTTACTCTTATACAATGGTAGATCTCAAATGCCGAGACTCCCTTACCCTTCTAAGTTAGTAGTGCCACCCCCCCCCCAACATTGTTTTTAATATGCTGGTTATTACTGATCATCTTTCTTTCATTAGAAATTAGAACTAAACATTAAGAGCTATGTATTCATTAATTTTGAAATGCCAAAAATAAGCCCATTGCACACTAACATTTTTTATGACAATGGCTAAGTTATGGAACTAAAAATTTGTTAGTTAGTCAGCTACCCTTTAAAACACTTTTGTTGGGCTCTGTATTGTCTGGCTTATTAGAAAACGGTGGATCTTTGATCTGTTTCTACCTCATATCTGTAGAGAGATATATGGTAGGATTCTTTTTTTCTTTTAAAGACAGAGTTTCATGCTCAGACTTGCTATGTAGTTATGGATGGCTTCAAACCTCAGGTCTCTCTCTCTCCCCCTGGATGGAGTTGAACCTCAGATCTCCTGTTGGGATTATAGGCATGTGCTCCCACACCTGGTTTATGCAGGGCTGTGGATGGAATCCTGGGCTTTGTGCACCCTAGGCAGACTCTACCACACTAGTTATATCCTCATTCCCAACATGAATTGGAAACTATTTTCATGAACTTTCTTATTCTTATTCCATTAATAGCTTTCGGTCACCCTTGCCTATTGAATGAATCTTCTACTTATGCCAGGTTCTGAAACAGCTCCTCTTGGTCATTTGACAAATATTTATTCCCTACGTTATGCAGGTCTCCCAGACATAGGCACCTTTTACTTCACAGTGCCGATCCCTACCCCATTCTTTAACACTATCCAAAAATGCCCTAGTAGAGCAAAGCTGTGAAGCTCGTGGTGATGGACACGAGTTGTCTAAAAGTCTAATTCTTGATGAAGTTCAGATTGTGTCAGTTGTCAAAGTTACTCTTTCCCTTAAATGACAGTCATTCTTAACTCATTGTGGGAAAGTGTCTCCCAGATAGCCCAAGGATGAACACCCATAGTTTATCTATTTTCTTTAGGTAAAAGTGGCATTTGATGAAACAAAAGTGTAGCTGGTTTTGATGACAACAATCCTTGAGTGTTTTTCTTACCAGCGAAACATTATATCCCACTGGGCACAAGCAATGCCTTATGAATGCTTCTCATTCTGCCATTCATTGTATTAAACATATATCTTTCCATGAGAATATTAAGGTACATACTCATGCACCAAGACAATAAGATTAACAATGGAAATGATATCAACAAACACAATCTTAGGTTAGATTATCTGTATGACATATATGCATATGTATATTCAAGTGTGAATCTGTGGTATAGTATTTGAAGATCACTACCTCTAGTCATAGTAAAATGTTAGTGATGATGCCTGCCACTAAGTATAAACATGAATTCAGGGAGAAGGGTGAGCATCTTGATATATATGCCAGTTTGAATAAGAACGGTCCTCATAGGCTCATATATTTGAATGACTGGTCCCCAGTTGATGGAACTATTTGTGAAGGAACAGGAGATGTGGCTTTGCTGGAGAAGGTTTATCACTGGGGTTGGACTTTAAAGGTTCAAAAGCCCATTCAGAAGTTCATCCCTCTCACAGTGATCCTCCCTTCTCTGCCTCCTGAGTGCTGGGATTAAAGGTGTGTACCACGCCTGCCTCCCACCTCTCTCCAAACATTTAACTCAGTAGTCCCACATGGGAATGAAAAGCAGTTCAATGATTTTAAGCTCCTAGAGAATCTCTCTTTTCCCGGCATGAGAATGCAGCTGTCTTTACAGATGCCACTCTTTCTGACTGTCATGTCAGCACTCTGACTATTACTGAACTAAGGCCGTGAAGATAGGATGAGAGATGGAGCTGGCGATATGAGGTGCATTTCTTTGGGAAGCAGAAGATGTGGTGACAGCTTCCACGTAGGGGACATGCCTCCCACGAGGATGGGGTTCAGTTTGTTCTTTTCTCCATCTTCTGAGGGAAGAGTCTCCCATTCAAACATGGTCTTTGGACACTAATCACACAGTGGTGAATCAGCAGTTTTCAGTGACTGGCTTGAGAAACAGCCTCATCTTGAATAGCTTTCTAAATGAATGTGGACTGAAATACAAAGAATAGCTTTGGCTTTCTTTAGCGAGACAAAGTTTCTTGAAAACCTTCAAATTCTCTTGTTGTTCCACATTTTTCTTCCTATGAATACCCCCTGCATCAGTCTTAGAGACGCCTGCTCATTATGCCAGCCTTAAAGAGCCCTGCGATGCTACTGTCCAGATAAAACCCGGAAACTAGAAAAGAGGAAGGCTCCATGTATGCCTTCATGGAGTCCAGAGCCCACTGACCAAAGGATGTGGCTTCTAGTTTGGTCTCAGTTGCTGTGATAAAACCCTCTCACCGCAACAGCCTGAGGATGAAAGGGTTTCTTTGGCTTACACTTTCAGGTAACAGTTGTTGGTCATCACCTGCATTCACTGTCTTCCCAGGGTTTCAGCATTCATCTGTTCATCTCTACAACTTCTGCACCTTGAGACACCATCTCTACCCTGCTCTTCATCCACTGTGTACTGCAGTCTGCATTTCCTTAAAGAAAGTGCTAGCCATGAGAGATAGCAAACACTATGATTTTTAAAAAAAGACACTTGTTAGAAATTTAGGGACATTTTAGGCAATTGCTTTATTTATTTATTGGGAGTGTAGGGATTTCCCTATGGAAAAAAATTCCCATTTTCCCCCAAAGACAAATCCTAATGTGTTTCTAACTCACAGGGTCACAAGTGTATGTGTGTCAAAGTCCTTGCTAGCCCAGGGAGATTTTACTTGCAGAAAACACTCAAGAATTAGAATATAATAGGGTATTCTTGACTTTCTCTGTTTTGGAACATGAGGAATTACAAGTTTATTCATTTCATCAAATAATCTTAAGAACCAACTTGTGCTGTGTATTTGCCTTACTAAAGTTTTAACAATAAATAAGAAGAATGTACTACTTCATATGTTCAAATGGAAGACAAGGTTAATTAATTATCACGATATAAATAAATACATAGTTTGGGAACAGTGGGGATGTGGAGGGCAAATACAGGCTGAAGAGATGCTAGAGGGGTATACAGGTCAGGTATGCAGGGAATTGAGGATGGATATTTTCATGGGGTTGTTAGGGAGAGTCTCTGAGAGGTGGCATTTAGACAGAACGGATATATAATATATGTGCCAATGAGTCAACTACAAGTCTGGGCTCCATAGTTTTTATACTAAAGGTATGATTGACTAGGGGTGGGGTCGAGTGTGTATGTGAGGGGAGTATTATACTAACTTATCAACCCTCTTAGCAACTAAAGACAGCAAGAGTCTATTCTCTTACAGTTCTGGAAGCCACAAGTCCAAAACCAAGATATTAAGAAGTCAATGCTGTCTCCATGGGCTCCAGGAAGGATCTGTCCCTGCCTCTTCCAGAATCTGCTGCCTCTGCTTTCTGCCTGAATCTTCATGTGGTCTTCTCTGTGAGTCTGTTTCCTCTTCTCTCTCTTATCAGGACATCTGTCAGTGTATTTAAAGCAAACTTGGGTAATCCAGGATAGTCATCTGGAGACCCCGAATTTCATTTGCAAAGACTCCTCTTTTAAATAAGGACGCACCCACAAGTTATGATTGGGGGCTGCCATCCAACCCAGCAAAAATAGAATCTTTGGAGAATCACTTGACTAGCAGTTTGTAAATCAAACTCAAAGGTGTTCCTGTGTAGGGTAGGGATTCTCCTTCTCTCTAGTCACGTGACTGCCGTGTAGCTAGCTCATTTCAGCGATGGGGCGTGGGCAGCCATGATCCCTAGTGAGCTGCCTGGGGCACTCTAGTCAGTATGGTGACTTGATTGCTGTCCCATAAAATCACCAAGTAGCTTGCTCAGCTGCCAGCTCAGACAGCTTTTAGTTAGACTTTACAGTGGCAATTTCAGGAGGGAAGTCATGGTATTAAGGTGCAGGGTTGTGGATCTTCGTGGGAACACCTCATAAAGAGATAGCAGTTCTAGAATTGGGAAATTGAGAAAGCACAGCTGAGCCCAGTGGAACGGAGTCCGGGAGCTGTTAAAGCTGTCTAAGGAGGCGGGACAATAATAGCATTCCATGGGTATTTCATAAGCCACATGACCAGGAGTTCTGGTGGAGGCAGGAGACTGGAAAGCTCCAGAAGGCAGCACCTTGGGAAGCTGAGACCTCAGTCTAAGAGGAAGCTTCATTGCCCTGAGCAGCCCTCTCTTCGGGGGATGTGAGGTGTACAGGTACCCAGAGGTACCTCCTGTCCAGAAAGTGGACACTCTGCACCAAGACTTCATGGTTTAGTCTTTTTCTCAGTCATGTTTCATGCCAGGGGACGGCAGTGAGGAGCAGGATGGCACACCCTGAGCCTGCCTGAGTTGGGGGTGATGTTTGCTCAATTCTGTACACCCCCAGCTGTTGCTCCAGGTGCTAAGTTAGACACTCGGTAATTAGCTGGGCTAATTTATTTAATCATGTTGGTACTGTTCTTCTTCTCCTGGTTGTTCTTGCCCTGATCCTTCAGGTTTTCCTGGATCCACTCCCAGGTGTGTTTGTTGGACTGGGGTGTTGAGGGAAGAGGGATCCTCCTCGATGCCAGAGATTACAGCAGGCTCCAGCTTGGCTTTGGGAAGTGGGGGCATGCCGATCTCGTTCGTAGTCTAGGTCAGAGTTTCTCAAACTGGGCACTAGTAACATTGGAAGCCAGAGAATTCTTGGTGTTTTGGGGGTAGGATGGGTAGGCAGGGGCTTTCTGTGTATTATGGGGTGTTTATCAGCATTCTTGACTTCTGCTAGATGCCAGAAGTGTGCTCCCCCCCCCCCACTGGTTGTGACAACCAAAATGATTTTCAGAGACTTTAAGAGAAGGTGCCTTTTGGAGGCTCTGAGCTGCCCCTGTGGGGAATCCCTTCAGATCATAACAGTGACCAATGATTTCTTTTATTGGGACTCCCCCCCCCCCCGAAAAAAAAACAGGGTTTCTCTGTGTAGTTTTGGTGCCTGTCCCGGATCTCGCTCTGTAGACCAGGCTGGCCTCGAACTCACAGAGATCTGCCTGGCTCTGCCTCCTGAGAGCCAGGATTAAAGGCGTGCGCCACCATCGCCTGGCTTCTTGGGACTTTTAAGCTAAAGAATATTCTTCAGGAATCCATGCAGGGAGTTGGGAGATGGCTCAGTGTATAAAATACTTGCTGCACAAGCCCTTCAAGCCAGTGCTGCGGCTCTGTAGCTAGGCAGATACGCCAGGCTGATTGGCCAGCTAGTCAGGGAGCTTTTAGTGCAGTAAGCAACCCGTCTTAAAGCTAAGGTGGAGAACTGCAGGAAGATGCCAGAAGTCAGCCCCTGCCTTCCACATGCTCATGTGCCCTGCCCCCACTCGCTCATACAGACAGACTCTGTGTGGTGGTTTTTTGGTAACGACTGTCCTTCTTTCCCGACCTCCCGTATTGCTGTCTTCTGCGCCTGCCCTAAGTAGAAGTCCTAGGCCAGGGCAAGGGCTGTCTTGGAGTGTAGGATTTGAGAGTCTAGCAAGGGCTCTCCTCCTAGAGACTCCGCTATTGTGTCAGACACGGAAGTAAGAAAGCTGTGCTGTATTGGAGAGCAGCAGGCGGCGGAGTTGGAGTGAGCCATCGGGAAGACATGCTGAACCAGAAAAGCCACTTCTGAGTAGGTGGAAACTGAGCTTCATGGACTGACTGCAGGATGGAACCCGTCCAACATGGCGGTGACCTGGGGGAGGGCGCTGTTGTCTTGATGTTGTTGGATCCCCTGCTCTCTGAGCCATGTCGGATCCAAGATTCTGACTCATTTTGGGGTTTCCCACAGAAGCTAACTTAAGGTTTTTGGTTGTCTCATTTTGTTTTGTTTGTTTGGTGTATGGGGTGTGTGTGTGTGTGTGTGTGTGTGTGTGTGTGTGTGTGTGTGTGTAGAACACCTAAGATTCCAGGTTGTTAGAATCCTGGGAAGGGCCCAGATAATCTAGGAGGGTCTTCAGGGACAAGAGAAGGCAGGGGCTACAGAACAGCTGCCATGAACTCAGCCTACAGCAGCCGCTTCCTTAGAAATACCACGCTGTGCGTTCAACTTCCTGATGGCCATATTCAAAGGAGAGAAACCCATTACGAGGCTCACTAGGTGTTCTAGGCCAGCTTGGGCTGCAGGGGGAGCAGAAGGCCAATCAGGCTGCGTAGCGAGAGTCTGCTCAAAAATACCAAAACAAATAAATAACAACAAAGATTAAAAATAAGAGAAAGGAAATGAGTGAAACCCATGTTACTCTTATTTTTACACACTTGTCTTATATTTATTTATTTACTTATGTGTGTGGGTCATGGGGTAGGCAAACATGTAACTGTGTGTGGAAATTAGAAGACGACTTGTAGGAACCATTTTTTTTTCTTTGTGGGGTTTGAACTCAGATCATCAGGCTTGGTGGCAAGCGCCTTTACCCACCGATCCATCTCACTGGCCCTGAAGCCAACTTTAATAAAGGGTTTGAACATAAAGTCCAGCGTATCCCCACTTGTTTGGGTCTTCACAGATAACCCATACAAAAGTCATTAGTGAGATAATACACAGTTTTTAAGAGTGGTGTCCTCCCCCTGCACACATGTCTGTGCTTGGATTTGTTTGCCTTCAGTATGTCCCTCCTGGAACTTTCTTCCCTGGATAGTGTGGGTCAAGAGAGGAAGGTGAGGAGAGAGTACTTTGTGGAGGTGGACTACTGCTCACAGAAGAGCAGTACAAAATGAACAGGACAAGGTCCACCCCCCTCAACACACATCCATTACACAGATAACCTGTCACCAGGCTCCTCTGGGGTTCCCTGTAGACAGGGTCTGTCTCCTGAATCCAGTGGCTCTTGCTTCCTCTCTCTTTATGGTCCCCCTGCTTGCTTTGGTTTCAAAGAAATGAGCACACAGACTGGAGCCTGCATGCCCCTGGGCAGTCACATGGCATTGAACTTTCTCAGTTCATCAGGAATCGGATGTCCCTCTTTATTGGCTTAGTGTCTTAGTCAAGGTCCCAACTTCACTCCAGAAGTTCTCAAACTTCCTAATGCTGCCATCCTTTAATACAGTTCTCATGTTGTGGTGACCCCGAGCCATACAATCATTTCATGGCTACTTCATAACTGTAATTTTGCTACTGTTATGAATCATAATACAAATATCTAATATGCAGGATATCTGATATGCAGCCCCTGTGAAAGGGTCACTCGACCCTGATGGGGTCATGACCCGTAGGTTGAGAACCACTGCTTTAGAAGCTGTGATGCCACCTGCCCAGGTAAATGCCAGCAGCTCAGGTCTTTGCAGAGTTCTTTTTCTTCTTATCCTGAAGAGAAACCCAAGGAGACCTTTCCTTAGAAGGGACAAAGGGAGACATAGGCTGGCTGAGCGGGAGTTAATGATGCTGGCCAAGAAGGACCCAAGAGCACAAAAGCAGCGCGGACCAGGCCCATCTTATTTAACAGGTGAGGACTTGGAATAGGCTCCTGGCTTCTTAGCAACATTTGAGTTCAGTTTCATTTCCCCAGGATCTCTTTCTTCTGCCTCTGCCAAGGATTGAACTCCAGAAGTTTGATCTTGTCTGGATGTAGGAAGCCATTGTGCTCCCTTGCTGGGTCACCTTGAGGTTTGCAGAACACCCCATTCTCAGACTTGCTGCCCAGGAGGGGTGATCTGATGGGTCCTCTGAAATAGTTCTCTATTTGAGGTTCTTCTTAGCCCACCTCTACCAGCGAGCGGGTCAGTGGCATCAACCAGAATTGGTCAGTACCCCCTCTCCCTCAAGGGACACACAGCAAGGAATGAAAACATTTCTGGCTGCTACCAGTTGTCAGAGAGAGGCCTCGACTGGCATCCGGTGAGCCAGGGGCATCGCTGAGTTTCCTCTAATTCACAAGACAGATCCTCCTCCTGCCGCAGAGCATGGGCAAGCTCAGGTGGAAAGTGCTTGCCTTGCAGACACGAGGACCTGAGTTCTAGCCACAGAACCCACATTTAATAAAGCCAGGCATGGTGATGTGTGTTTATAATCCCAGCATTGGCGATGCAAAAGCACACAGATCCATGGAGCTTGCTAGCCAGCCAACCTGGCCTGCTTAGCAGGCTCCAGACCAGTGAGAGACTCTGAATAAATACAATTTAAAAAGTGGTCGGTGTCTGAGGAACGTCATTTAATGTTGTCCTTACACACACACACACACACACACACACACACACACACACACACACACACACACCTGTACATACACAAAATAACGAGCTCAAAACATCAGAAATAACAAGAACTCTGTTAGAGAACATCTCCTTTGGATGTTCTAGAATTTTCTCTCAAAAAGAGCCTTGCAGAAACCCTTGGGTACACTTAAGCGCATAAGTGATGAAATAGCCACCGTGCATG